AGGCAGCGGTGTTTACTTTTGGTAGGCATAGTACTGATGTGACCTGCCTAGAATTCTCCCCCCCCTCATCCCTGCCCGCTTTCTCTCCCCCTATATTGTAACCTATTAACATTGTAAGTGTGAATAGTATCAACATTATGACCTATTAACCTGTTAAGTGTAGGAGCTAATTTTGTTCGTACGCTGTAAAGGTAATTCTGTCGATGTAAATTAGAAGACACATCTCAACCTAGACGCGAGATTTATATTTAAAAAACATGGATCAGATATGTTAACGGCAAATGTGGCGCTATAAATGTTTATCACTTGAACCGATGAAGGAACGCCTCCGAAATATATTCAAGTGTTTTTGGTAACTTTTGGCAATTTCTAGAATTTTGAACAGAAGGTTATTCCATTAAATATAAATGTATCCAATTGAAACGGAATCCGTACGAACGCACATAGGAGTACACTGGTATCCCCGCAAAATAGCAGCCAGTTGCTTTGACTACGCACGAATAGCTTTATATGTAGAGGTACAGAAAATGTATAAAGGTACAGGAGAAAGATGTGTATTAATCTAAAACGCATTTGATTATTGTCATCCGAGACACCTTGCCCCAATTATTCACTGAACAATACCTACTGTAGTCAGAGCTCACATTAGAATCACTAAGTCCGATAATTATCAGTGGCCCAGATATCCAGATATATCAGTCCAGATATCAGTGGTAAAGTGTAAAATGCGAATATCGTATCGGCTAGGCCCACATTCTGATATTTTCAAAGGCAATCACAGCAAATGATTCAATGAATTATGAAACGTTATACATAGTACACACCATTCTGGTAAAATAACTTAGGAATCAATATCCGCATTCAACTTCTCCGAAAATGAGAAGGCAAACAGGCATTCAGTGAAAAACGAAAAACGATAGCTACAAAAATAAAATAAAACGACGTAACTAGATGATGCGTCACGACAAGTCGGCACTAACAGGCAGCGCACATCTAGAGTTCGTCGTCCTTACGGAGCTGATCTTTTCGATCGAGCGGCAATATTAAGTCACGTTTTTCGACAACGCGTTACAAAACCAGCAGTCTGGCGTACCCTTATCGGCAAAACGAATGTGACATCCGCGACAGAGGACAAAGAGAGTACGGTTCGGAGCTCATTAGAGAATGCTGCGTCTGCTGATAGCGGTAGTGTGAGACAGATATCGCCAACGAACGGGCACTCTAGGGGCTTCTACATGACAGCGCGCTATTTGATCGGACTTTTCAGATCTAGTCGACTAAAAAACACCTTACGGTCGCCATTAGTGTAAATTACGTAAGGCTTCATTACTTTGGTGTTCCTCACAACAGATGAAAAACATTTTGGTACTTCGAGCATCGTACTTCACTGACGTAATTTGGACATGACCCACATGGGAATAAATGATATTTGGATTTGCGTCGATTCGAATTCATATCGATGCTTCGCATTTTTAGCGAAGCTGTGGCGCAGGAGACGTAAAACGACAAAGATTGACTCCTGTTGCCATGGACGCTGGGCATCTCACTGGGATATAGAGGATTCTTCATGGCTCCGAGTGGAAGATAAGGATATCTTTTCCAAGCGGGTTACTGAAAAACCGAGCGACGAAGGAGCGAGGTTTTTCTGTAACACGCGAGGAAAAGATATCCGATCTTCCACGAGTGAGCCATGAGGAATCCTATATCTTTCTATGTTGAGGTTTATTCTTATTTAAGAAAATAATATATTTAAATGCACTCATCCATATAAAATAGAATCAGAGTAGTTTGTTCTTATTTCATAAGTTTCATCCATAAACAACCATTCAAAATGTCGTTCGGTTATTGACCCATCATCACTCGAACTCTTGATTTTTCGCTATGATTCCTCGAGACCTTATCTTTGCATCTCAGAGGGATGCAGAGATAACAAATTCTTATCTCTGCATCTCAGAGGAGTGCGAGATAGAAATATCCCTGCACTGTAGACCCAATGGCAAATAAACCTCAACTAGAAAGATAAACCCAAGCTGGGAGCTTGGGTTTATAATCTTCCTCGTCGCAGGACAAGTCTCGCGGAAAACCGGAACCGGTATATAGACGCCCACGCAACAGCTACAATGTTTCAAAAAACAAAAATCTCCTTCAGCACCGTGGTAATGCGGAATGACGAGCTGCATCTTGCTGACAGAGACAACAGGAAGCACTAACGGTTAGCTTGTCAGGCAAATACGAATGCTGTTCAAGTTTCAAAAACACAACGGAACACGGTGTCGACATCACGACTGCAACGCATAATCCTTCTCGTGATGTCATGGGTACAAAGACCTTTGGTTTGCAGGTTTTCAAGGTCGTCTATGAGCATGCGCCTGAAAACCGCTCTGTGAAACTTCGAGAAGCACATTGTCGAGGTTCGGCGGAACATATCCCTCGTCTTCAGCCGGCCAAGTCGCCAAGTGATCCAGAAGGTACGCGAGGACGGAAGCTATGTAGGACTTAACCAAAAATAAAAATACTGAGCAATGCTGGCGTGCATAGAGGGAATGAGAAGAGAGGTAAAAGAGAGGAAATAAAAGAAAAAAAAAACGAAGGATTGAGGAAAACGAGAAGGAAGAGAAGAGAGAAAAGAGAAGAGAGAAAGGAAAACGAGTGAGTGAGTGAGTGAGTGAGTGAGTCAGAAGAGAGAGAGAGAGAGAGAGAGAGAGAGAGAGAGAGAGAGAGAGAGAGAGAGAGAGAGAGAGAGAGAGAGAGAGAGAGAGAGAGAGGCAGACAGACAGACAGACAAACAGACAGATGAAAGGAGAAAGGAGATCAAGACAGACAGACAGACAGACAGACAGACAGACAGACAGACAGACAGACAGAGATGAAAGGAGATCACGCGTCGCTGGCAGGCGGCGGTGTGTGGCCCGCACGCAGCTCCCTGGAGCCTGCCCTCCGCCAATGGGCGGCGGCCGGACCGACGGAGGGCGGTGGTTGGCCCCGCCCCTCGCCGGTATGTTCCGGCGGCTCCGAGCAGACCCAAGATGGCCGTCCACCGCCGCCGCACGATCGGACGGGGCGTGAACGGATAGGGCGGAGAGAAGGTGACCTTCGGAACAATCGCAAGGCAGCCATCATTACCATCAAATGATTCGCAAAAAAAGAGTGAAGCTGGAGAAGAGGGATGACGCCATGCATAGGTACACGGAGAAAAATATTTACTCCCCGAAGGATTTACAAACGCCTTATTTCGGAAACTCCTTTTGTGGGTGTTCATATACCACTAACTTTGGAGTATTCCATGACGAGGCAGAGTAACTTAAGTATCTCACTTGATGTACCAGAGTAAATGAAGGAGCCTGGGAGTTCTCCTACTCCTCATGCATAACTGTTTGGAGTATTGAAACCCGGTAAGATGGAGTTTAACGGATAAAACTCCAAAACAAAGCGAAAATCTACTCCAATATAGGTACTGTATTTGGGACGTCAGAACCCCACCTAGCGGAGTAAATATTTTTCTCCGTGTACCGCGCGATAATACTAGAGGTGCCCTCTTTCAGTGCATGGGAAATAAATACATACCTACCAGAATAGTTACCAATTAATTTTGCGGTTTCCCTCCCCTACAAGTCTCAAAAGCGGCAGCTAGTGATGTTCATCTGACATAACCAGGGAAGGTAGCCCGCAGCGTCACTTGTTGTTGCTTGATTCTTGAAACAATCGAAAAAAAATGTAGAGCGTTGCTAAATCGTTTTACCCATACGTCCACCCAATAAATTCTAACCATAGAAATTGATCAAAGTTCGTTTACTTTTGAGTCATGCAAATATTTAATGTATCCCAACCCAACAGATTAAGAAAGGAACGGATGGATCACGCCTCAAAAAGGCCTCAAATTCGAGCAAACAAAGCAAATAACTAATTCTAATACACCTTTTTGCGACGGATTAGTTGTCAGTTTCCCATCAATCATATTATGGACTGTCAGAGCAGATCTGAACTGTCTTCTTCCCATTACGATCTTCCCAGCTCCTTAAAAAAAAGTTACTGAGTCGTCGTCTGGTAGGTACAAGGAACCGCACAGCTGTAAATTCCTCTGCTGAAGTCGACAACTTAAAGAGTCCCGATCGCATACCTAATCGGCAGGACATATACCTACACCTGGCAATACAAGATACGATCGGCACTAAAATACAGCTGGACAAGAGCCTCCCACACACTAACACAAAAATACTATCGAGAAAAGCAAGTTCACCGACCTATCCGATTCAAATGATAATGACACTCACTAATCCATCCCGAGCTTGCTAAGAGATGAAAGGCAACAATCCCTTCTAGTAGGATCCACAATAAGGAAGTAGCATTATGCGGTTGCAAACCGACAGGAAAGCATACCTCAATAGCCAGAATTGGGAAACATAGCGCCGGGCCAAAAATACCGTTACACTCGATAAATCAATAGCAACAATCCCATCGGAAATGTTCAGCCAGAGAGCGGTTTCAAATACTGTAATTAATTCAACCAAGTGGATGTGGCTCCTTTAATATCAAATGAAACATTTGATATGCATAATATCATAGGATGAAAAGAATAAATATGAAAAGAATAAATACGTGAAAAATGAAAATTTATAAATAAATGCGCTTTTAATTAGAAAGTAAGCTAAGGCAGCCGATGATAGTTTGCAGCCTGAACCTCTCTAAATAAAGTGATTCGTTATTTATGTGGTTGACCACGCCTGTTGAACATTAGCTCGGGCTGCGCTTCTCGGCGACCGGCTTCTATCGTCACCTATCCCTGTCCTGCCAGGCGCAGTCTCGAGTCTCACCTACTTGTGACTCTGATAGCCCGAGCCTCACCTGAACCTGGTAGCCCGATTATCACCTGACCCAAGTAGACCGTGTCTCGCCTGACCCCGACAGCTCGATACTCACCTGACCCTGGTAACAAGTCTCGCCTGACCCTGATATTCCTAGCCTCACCAGCTGGTTAATGTCCCTGATAGCCCGAAACTCACCTGGTTGGTGACTCGGATGAACTTTGGGAACATGTGCGGGATGGACACGTTGGCGCCCGGTATGTCTCCACGCAGCATGGCAGCCAGCTGCTGACGGATCGGGTTCCGCACATTGTTCTCTGTGGATCATACAGCACAACACAATTCAGCACAAACATCACAACGAGCATCACCGCACAGCACAGCGCCGTTCGGCACAGCTCAGCGCACGCAGCACAGCTGACCAGCACACACAGCACAGTGCCACTCAGCACACATAGCACAATTTATAGTTTATACGGCAACCGTCACAGCACAGCACGGTGTGTAAAACATAACAACACAATATACCAGGTGATGTGTTGTCAGACTGCACGGAGTAAAACAGTTACCTAGCCAATCACTTAAAAATGGATAGCGCAGCTAATTTGTATTTTGTCTGTCATGTAAGTTTTGAAGCATAAAGGCAGCGGCAGGTGAAGAACATGTGGAAATTTCAATTGTAACACAGTTTTACTCGGTCATGAATAGAAACGTATTATCCCAAAAGCCGCAATAAAACTAGATGCCGGCAGCGCTCTTGCGTTGCCTTGGGCCAGAATTGGAGGAACGGTACTGAGGGCACACACCGGGCCAAACCACCGAAACCCAGGGACTGAGCCAAGGCCATATATAGTGACTGAGCTTGGACTGAACCTGAAACCAAACGAAACATCCCAAAAATGCTTCGAAGCACGTGAGATTGGTGCGGATATCTTCCTACAGTATGGTATGAATTAACTGCGCGTGCATAGTTCATGTCCCAGGCACCCCAGTGCAGTCATTTTCATAACATCATGTAGCGTGTGTCTAGTTCTATCAGTGTACCGACTTTTGTGTCGCTAGATCGACGTTTCCCGGGATCAGAGGATCCCTAGTCAAAACCGTTATCCGCCCCCCGCACGCGCCGCTTGCACCCCTGGGATATTATCTCGCCGGAATGTTACGACTCAATGTATTCTTCTTATGACCTGCAAGTTTTGAACCAGTTAGAGCGGCCGTTTACCCTGCAGGCGTGGCAACGCACGAAGGGGTGCAATCGGCTTGCACGTACCTAGCTCATGCACCACAGAGTTTAGCTCAACCAAATGTGCACTATTTTGGAGGCCTTGCCTGAGACTACCATTGAACCGATTTTGAGGTTGATAGCTCAAAATTTCTTTGAGCCAGAGGACCTCACGTCAAAACGGTTTTCCGCCCCCAGCACGTGCAGCCTGCACCCCTCGCAGACGGTGGCCCCCCTGGAAACTGGTTCAAGGTGTTACCGATGTGTCCCGCCAGTGTGGCTTTGTCCGTGACCTCGGGTTGACCTGTAGCCTTGACAAAAAATTTCGTGTCACCGAAACTTTGAAGCGGAATAGCATGTGCCACGAAGCACTGAGCGAACCGAGGCCAGTACCAAAAGTTTATCTCGCCGGAGACGAGTCGAACGGTCCCACTTTCGTCCCGATCGGTCCACCCATTTTGACTCCAGGTCCAAAAAGGCTTGGACAAACTCACTCACATACTCACATACTCACATACTCACTGACAAACAGGCTGGGCCGAACTTTTCTTCAGCGACCCACCAATGGGAATTTCCGGATGCAAAAGCATGCTATCGCATGCTTTTGATCCTCCAATTCTGGATAAAACTAGATGCCGGCAGCGGTCGTGCGTTGCCTTGGGCCAGAATTGGAGGATCCATAGCCCAATGAAATGTGCATTATTTTGGAGGCCTTGCCTGGGACTACCATTGAACCGATTTTGAGGTTGATAGCTTAAAATTTCTTTGAGCCAGAGGACCTCACGTCAAAACGGTTTTCCGACCCCAGCACGTGCAGCCTGCACCCCTCGCAGACGGTGACCCCCCTGGAAACTGGTTCAAGGTGTTACCGATGTGTCCCGCCAGTATGGCTTTGCCCGTGACCTTGGGTTGACCTGTAGCCTTGACAAAAAATTTCGTGTCACCGAAACTTTGAAGCGGAATAGCATGTGCCACGAAGCACCGAGCGAACCGAGGCCAGCACCAAAAGTTTACCTCGCCGGAGACGAATCAAACGGTCCCACTTTCGTCCCGATCGGTCCACCCATTTTGACTCCAGGTCCAAAAAAGCTTGGACAAACTCACTCACATACTCACATACTCACTCACTGACAAACAGGTTCAGCCGAACTTTTTTTTCAGCGACCCACCAATGGGAATTTCCGGATGCAAAAGCATGCTATCGCATGCTTTTGATCCTCCAATTCTGGAATATTTTTAGACAAACACTGATAAAATACATCAATGTCTGTCAAATTTTGTTCAATGTATGTAATGTTACCGATTCAACGTTCCAGAAAAAAAAAGAAACGGTTCATCGCACAGCTAAGCACTTGCAAATACTCATGCTAATGGTATGGTTGCATGAATTGTACGAATAAAGCAGCCTTCCTGTTGTCACTTAGTTGCAATTTTTACGACTGAGTAAATTAACTGGTAAACAATTCTCCGAATTCTCAATTTGACGGCTTATTTCATCGATTTCCGCGATCTCAGACCGCTAGTCGGCTTAGGATTTTCCCAACTCATGTTGAGGTCTGATAATAGGACATGACAGCAGCATTCGGGAGCCAATGGCCGGGGCCGAAATTCGTCTGCGGTCAGGTGCCACCCCTGGGAAGACGGTGCCAATCTGCCCATGTGAACAGGCCATACAGCAGGGGATGACCTTGGGCAGCGGCTCCCAGACGTGGCGTGATTTCAGTCGACGGCCGAGTGTTCACAGAGGACAGCCGAAAAGAAACGAAGCAAACAACGATATTTCAGTCTTAAAATGAAACAAAAACATAAAATTTCAGCGTAACATGTTGATAGGCAAGCATAGATAACAAAACATCAGAATTAAAGTTACACGTGGCTTGAAGATTCATAGCCTCGTAAGTTCGTTATGTGTAAGCATAAAAAACAACGGGAAAATATGGTGTCAGTCTGTCTTGCCGAACCCTAATCCAATAGAATATTGCAGATAAAATCACCAACATATCAAATCCAGAGCATCCCAAAACTACAGACCCTCGTGAACCCTGATCACAACGATAAACAGACAGTGCATGCAAGATAAGTGATAAATTTATACGGTTTTGACAAAGGAATGTAGGGCTTTCGAACACGTAACATCTGCCAGCATTATGGTAAATAGTTTTTCAGTTGGCCCAAACGCTAGGCCTCGCCAGGGGCGGATCCAGAAAATCTCCAAGGGAGGGGCCATTAGAAACCAGGAGGCCCCCCATAATCCCACCTGTTGGAGGCCCCATCTTCCCACTTGTTGGCCCCCCCCCCCAAAAAAAAACTGCGTCTATTGAGCTTATCTAGCTGTTCAGGCAACATCTCAACATCTGTGCAGGCTTGGAGGCCCTCTGTGCAGGTTAGGAGGCCCTGTAAAAGTGGTCATCTCTGTGAGTATAAGAGACCTCCAAGTTATGAAAAGCTTTACCAATCTTCTAACAAAGAAGTCTTCTCAGCTAGTCTTCTAAGAAATAACTAAGTGGGTAGGTTAAAAAAAAAACTCATCGGATTTCGGCCACTTTATTTTCAGGAGGCCCCCTTTTCAGCTTTTCAACTTTTTAACTTTTTATTTTATTTTTGAAAAAAATCGGCCAAGGGGGGGCCATGGCCCCCATGGCCCCCCCCCTTGTATCCGCGCCTGGGCCTCGCTAATCTCAATAAGTGCCATTTGCGATTGAAAACAACACATACCATTCCCGTTCGACGCATGCAAGCATACATAATAACATATTCCACAAAACAGTGCTTATTTTCGTATTGCAGACTGTTTAATGACACATCATTCAGTTTTACTTAGAACACGAGCTTTAGCACCAGTAAAGTATGCTTTCATGCTTAAAAAAATGCGCCCCGAACACTGCACAAACGCTTATCCGCTCGACTACCAAGCCCAACTCTCCCAGCCTGCAACTCCCCCTCAGCGAATGAGTCCCCATGTATTGACTCACTTATATAGGCCGGCAGCGGTATCTTTCTGGAGTCAAGTGAGTCGGTAGAGACGGCCGCTGAGTTGGAGAGTCTCTTCACATTCCAGGCCAGCTTCAGCGTCACCGTGTCGTTGCCCATGAGGTCCTCGATGAGACGAGTCTGGAAACAGGAGGGACACGGTGTGGTTCGGGCCATCAGTTGGCTGTCAATGCACTGCCGGTCGTATATGGTCGGCAGAATGGCTATAGTTGAGTGTGTGAGTGAGTGAGTGAGTGAGTGAGTGAGTGAGTGAGTGAGTGAGTGAGTGAGTGAGTGAGTGAGTGAGTGAGTGGGTGAGTGGGTGGGTGGGTGAGTGAGTGAGTGAGTGAGTGAGTGAGTGAGTGAGTGAGTAAGTGAGAGTGAGTGAGCGAATGAGTGAGTGAATGAGCAGCGCCCAGTCATCAACCAGACACTCTAAAAGCTCGTTTAACAGGCACAGCCCCAATAATAGAGAGCTGCAGTACCTAATGTCTGTGGGCGACAGATCCTGTTCCCGTTTTCTGTGCCTGTCACCGGCCCAAGACCGCGCCGACAACGTTCGGTGGTGACATTTACTGATCTAGGCCGCCTCACAACTGACGCCAGAGCGAGCATCCGAGCAGTGCAGAGCTACATCCAGCCACCAAACACAGCCCACATACCTATCCTATCACAGCAAACGCCACGGAACACACTGGCTACTATCAATGCCACGGAGTATAACTCAAAACACACCACAGAGCACACTATGAAGCCGGGGACAATATTTAGAGTGAGCACGTTACAATGAACACAACATACATAAAGCGCGCGCGTCACAGACAGTAAAAAAGCACACTACAAAACGCCACAAATCACATCACAGAACACATCACAGATCAGGTCACACACAACAGATCAAAGAGCATACCAGGCTGCGACAGCATCCCTGGGCATACCTAGAGCACATCTAGAGCACGTCTAGAGTATGTACGTCTAGAGCACAACACAATCGGCGCCCGGCGGAGACGAGTTGGCCGCGGCACTGCGCACTACCACCGACCACAGACCACTGAACAGGATGGGTTCCCTTTGCCGCAATTCACGTTGGACGCTAACATTTACTAGACCTTTCGCACAGCTTCAAAAACCTTTACCGAACATTTGAGAGACCTTTACGGAAAACGACATTTGGTTTCCGGAGAGGGACTTTGATCATTGCCGTGAAAGGTGAGTTCCGCGTGGAACGTGATGAAACCCTTTATGGCTGTGGATTCACAGTTTGAGGTCACGTTAAGGTCAATCTATGAGCCACAACTATGCAAACAGATACATTCATATATAATGCAATCATACCGCATATGGTACCTACATTAAACATGTGGCTATGCAAAGTGATCCGCCCAGTGTCACCTATACCGATAAAAAGATTACATTACAAATGCACTTTGCGCTACATGGGTGTAGGCGATTTCAGTTCTGGGGGGGGGGGGGGGGGAGCTCGGTCAATGTATCAATGTAAATCAATGTAATATCAATGTAATCAAGTCAATGTAAATAACGTATATTTTGCACATAACATTTACGTTAAGCAATGCCAATTTTCCACGCAGTATCTTAGATTGATTAAAAAATACGGCAGCATTGCAACCTTTGGCGTGAATTCAACAAGAAGAAAATCTCTAAAAGAAAGTCGTCATATCAAATAAGAGATCAGCCGGTAAGAAGATGTAAGATGGCAGCCGTGCTTGGTATGAAAATGGAAATTTCAAGATATGTGGCAGGTAACAACAAATTGCAAATGGCCAATTTTCGCAGAAATGGTCAAATCGCAAGCTGGGCACAAAAAAAAACTGACACGGCAACGCTGTGCCTTAAAACCATGAAAATAGCAACAAATAAACAAACCAACAGGTGCGACAGCGTACCAACCCAGACAAATGTGAGATTTTCCCTCGCTTCGGCCACGAAACGTTGCGTGCATGATTATATAAGCACGATATGCACCTAGCGCCGATACTGTTATGGAGAGATAAGCCAAACCCAGTCAGCTGATGTCTGTGGGAAATGTGAGTACTTGTGGCTGGTACGGAGACCAGATGTGCACTGTGCAGTGCATTGTTGCGGCGGCAGGGAATGCGTGGGAGAAGAATTGATATCCTCACGAACAAGCAATACGATACAGCTAATCCATGGAGCAAGCAATGTAAAATGCAAAAAGCAATTAGTACCTTTGTTGCTTGACATGAGCCAAGCGTGCATGCATTTGGTTATATAACTAGAAACAAATGGAATTATGTTTTGTTGAAACCTTCTGTACAGTTAATGCCAGAAAAGGAAATAACCAAACCGTACACAGCTTCGCATCGGCTCAACTCTTAACTGCCGATTACCAGAGTCTTTGACAGACCACAAAGCTGTCAGTCACAACAGCTCAAAGTAGCGACGAATAGCGGATTTAGCGTTTTAGGTTACCTACATATGTAGAGTAGCGACGGGCATAACAAGGGTATGATAAAGTGTGCTAAGTCATGATCGAGCAAAGGGAAACAAGAAAACAAGATAGCAAGAAAGCGAACGAGCACGCAAGTGAGCAAGTAAAAGTGGAAGATGAAGAGAGAAAGAGAGAGAGGGAGAGAGAGAGAGAGAGAGAGAGAGAGAGAGAGAGAGAGAGAGAGAGAGAGAGAGAGAGAGAGAGAGAGAGAGAGAGAGAGCCGTTCCGGACGTACCTGAGACGGCGGTGAGATGGCCCAGACCGCCGTCGACTTGCCGCTCAGCTGAATGACGTTTACGTCTGTATGATCGTAGTCGGCGAGGAAGCCCAGAGCGCGCCGGTCGCTGCGGTAGTGGAAGCTGATGTCGTCCAGGTCCTTCTCCGTGATGCTGTAAGATGGAAAAATGTCGCACATCAGGCATGGGATGAATGCTGAAGGAATGAAAGCCTAGCGTTTACGTAAGGTTCGTTGTCTTTCGTCGTATGCGAGCAGAAGGGTTTGTCGTCGAATTTCAGAGCCAACGATGGAAATAGTGAAATGGCGAGTAAAATGGGCAGAATTGAGATGGAATGGAAAATAGCGACTGCTTGTCTCACACCGAACCAATCCTTTAAAGGGTGGGTGTACGACGTAAGTACTACTTACCCATGGGGTGCCCCAAGCAGATTTAAGCACGATTTTGATGATCACACCCAATGAACATCCTCTGATGATTACGCAGTTATCCGCCCTAAAATCCTCCCCTTCACACACTTACCGCAGGATCGAGTTCTGTTCAGCCGTCATCCGGAAGATGGGCTCGTAGGCGCCGACTCCGATCTCCATGGTCACCTCGTACGGCACGTTGGGCAGGCCGACCGCGTTACTCAGCGCGAACAGTACCAGCGGAGCGAATATAACAGCCACGATCAGCAGCAGCCAGCCGCCGCCGAACACGCATTTCTCGGTGGTGCGCCGCGGCTCCCCGCTCACGTACACCTGCGTCCCCTCCTGCACGCGCTGACACTTGATCAGGAAGATGTGCGCGTAGATGTCCTCCATTTTGAGCCAGTTGAAGATGTCCAGAGAGGTTTTCGTCCACATCCAGTCCATGAGAGCGCGCAGTTCGTACAGGAACGGAATGAGCATGAATCTGCCGGGAAAGACGGGCGTTTATCAGCGTTTAATTGTTACTACGGCAGATATCACAAACCATGGGTGGAGCTTTCCCAGGGAAGTTGGTGGGGCAAAAAGTCGTCAAACCCACAATGTCCGATTATGAAGTTGAATGAAATGCCACACTGAATCAATTCCCATCATTACAGATATCATATTGTGCATTAAACAGACATTCCAAAGCTCTTTAATGCGAAAAAAGATTTTTTTTTGCAAAGCAACAAAGCCTTAGAAATCAGCTAAAGTTGGTGGGGCAAAACGCTTATTGGTGGGGAAAAATGGCAAGTTGGTGGGGCAGCCGCCCCACCAACTGTATAGGAAGCTCCGCCCCTGTCACAAACCACATCAAAATTTGCAGCATTCGTAAAACACCGACTCTTCGGTGAGATCTACCGTCTGAGCTTACCCTCTGAAGGCCATTTTGTTGAAGAACGTGTACTGCTTGGTGAGAAAGTTGCCCAGTATTCGGGTGGGGTAGCCGGAGCGAATCTGGTACGCCGAGAACAGCAGGTAGATGCACTTGATCATGTACCAGACACGAGGTGCCACCGCCTGGTCAAACTCCCTGCAACACAGGTGGTTCGTGATACGCTTACACATGGATGACGAAAAATATTACGATGGAAACCACTTTGAAGACAATGGAAGTTTACACTAATTACGGATACCTACAAGTTGTATTACCGAAACAATAGCTGGCAACTGAATTACCAAACTTTTAAAACAAGGACAAGGTAGTTGAAACCGTAAAAGAAAATTGGATGACATTGTAAGACGTGACCATTTATGTTCATCTCTTACAACACTTATGCAAGACGTCATTCCATCAAAACCTCTAGCTCAATTACTTGCTTTGCTTGCTTATTGAAGCTTCAGGGCACGCCGACATCAATGGTCATGTGACGCCCTCGGTAAATAATTAAACACTTGTTGGCTTTGAAATGAACCATCAAACACGTCCGGATGGAAGTAAAATGAACCACACCAATTCTGCACCCAGCGGTCGCAAGCCCAGTCGAAAAATCAAACATTTCCCCGCGTCATCAAATCAATATCATACCTGTCTGTCATCGCCGGCAGGACGAAGAACAGCCACCCGTGTACGACCACGACCAGCACATACTGGAACACGAGCTTCCACAGGGCCGTCTTCCTCAGATACAGCGCCCGGTCGACCAGGATCAGAAGGAAGTTGAGCGACAGGATGATGAGGAAGGGGATGGGCACCCGGTTCTCCTCCACCACCGACGAGATGTCGTCGCCGCTGCCTCCCTGCGGCGGCTGTGGGCGGAGGGCGCCGGGTCAGACCCCAGAGGTCGGAGGCTAAGGTACTCGTATTACTCAGACGGAAATTAACATGGTTTTGCACGAGCTTCTCGATAAGGTGAGCTCTTCCAGAAAACAGCAAGGACGCTAGATAACATGCTCGCCTTCAATGCCTTCTCGAGCAATATCGCACGAACTTTGAGGAGTTTCAAAGACACTCACGCCAAACGACGAGAAGCCGAGGAACACCACGAATATGTTGATGAAGTCGCAGATGAACATGTAGGCGTATACATCCACCTTCTCTTTGCCAGAGTTGGAGAGGAGGGACTTGAAAAACTCGCCCACAGCAGACACGTAAAACTTGAAGCTGAAAATAATCCGATTATAGCCAATGATATATATCACGGAGATATTGACAACACCACGGATTATAACATGGGCAGATTGCGGTTTAAGTCTTCAATAAATATGGTTGCAAACAAGTTGCACCAGCCTTAGCTGGTCAAGACAAACAGCATTATATTTTTCGGATCGATCCCGTCAAAAACTGGACTCTTGGAATTCTCCTTACCTAACCGGTAGCGGCGATCTTCCCGATCAGTTTGGCTCTTGATCAGTACACAGTAAATACATTTAGAAACTAGCCAGGTATAAAAGCGTCAGCCGTTTTCCAGCTACGTTACTTCACTTTACGGCTTTGTTGGTCAATTACAAGATACTTAGTGACATACATGGACAGCCTAAATAAATAGGAAAGGTGAGGTTACGGAATAGCTATCCTCACATATTCAAAAAATAACTGTATTTTCAAACTGCTGACCTCAGTTCATTTTTACTTCGTTCTCGGCATCAAAAGCAAATGGGACAAACACTTCGTTGTGCTACGCTTCCCGACTTTAAACCAATGAATTTATCTGAATTAAACGGAACTGAGCCAGGTTTTTCTCTTACGACACCGGTTCGTTTGACAAGTAACTTGTACCCATATGAAGTGAGAGTGGCACAAATACTTGCAGTGGCGGATCCAGGGGGGCAAAATGGGCATTTGCCCCCCCCCCCAAACGGCATAATTTTAACATTACGCCTATGGACGATGCATGGAAAGAATCGATAAATTGTTATGGTTTGCCCCCCCCCCCCAAAAAAAAACTCTGAGCTGGATCCGCCTCTGAATACTTACAAGGTAGGTGTACTCGGTTCCAGTAGAAAATATTCCGGTAGGTCAGAAGCCAAAACTATGCCATTTAATTAGTCGAACTCGTTTTGGAATTAGCTAAATCCTACGAACTTCACCTATCTATATCTGTTTCTTTGAAATAAATAGATAGCACGGTTCCTTCAATCAGCTCTACCGTCTCCTCAGACCCCAACCCTCCCCTACCTCACCCCCGGCAACTCACCCCTCCATGAGTTCCCCCTTGGCCTTGCGCGCCACGGCCCGGCTGCGTTCAGCCACGGTGAGTCGCGTGGCGCCCAGGTGGTCGGCAGGCGGGACCACCGGCGGGGTCTCCAGCTCAGCGACATCATCCACGTCCTTCCACAGGCCGAGTGTCTTCATCACCACCCTGCCGAAGGGGAAGGGAATGGAGGTGATAAAGGGAGAGTCTGGGACAGGAGTGAGGCGTTATGTCATACTGGTGGGATGGGCGCTGATATGATGAGAATGAAGATTTGTTGCAGATTTGTTGCAGAGTTCGTGCTTTGTGTCTTTAGGGTGATATAACTGCTTAGGCTCTCAAGTCTCAACATACGGCGCATTTAGACATACCGTAATAAGCTTATGTGCCTAAAAATATGAGGAAGCATTGAGTACCCTCCGTCTAAGGATAGCCCTGCAAAACTACCTGCATTGTCAAGGGTTTCACAGCAGCTGCAATGCGGTTATCGCGCGATCGCACTTCCCACACAAGGATACAGAAAGAGGGAGCGAAAGAAAGAAATGAGCATATGTCGTGCCTAGTAGTCCTCAAATCATCATAGGTATGAAATAAAAATGCAACTGCCAGCGTGAAGATAGGAAGAGATATCAAAGCTTACCTATGGAAGAAAATGATGAGCAGTAGAACTAGGTCATAGACGGCATACTGGTCTTTCCGCTCAATGCCCAGGATTCGAGGCGGCCAGAACGGGGCGTTCAGCTTCTCCACCTGATTCCACGGGAAGAAGGCGAATTGGAACATGTACTTGATGATGATGATTGTCTGAAACAGAAGCCGGTAGTGGTTATAATACAGAGGGGTTGGTGGCAGGACATTGCAGGGGTTGACACTGTGGCTTCTTGTAGGAATTAATGAATAACTCGAACACGGAAAATGATGGAAAGGAAAAAATTGATGCCACTGCGAGGCCGGGCTTACCTGGGTAGTTGTCTGTCGGTTTGGCCTCTGTGATTATTTGTGTCACTGCAGTATCCTCTCTTGAGTATGACAGGACACCACGAGTAGTGGCATTGAAGTAGGTAGTCGTAGTTCAAGTTTGAAAGTATTTGAGCACACTGCACTGCCGTTTATCACTGCACGCGCGCGACCCATTCGAGACCAGAGCAGACTGGACGTCTGGCTCGGGCGAGGTCAGCGCCCGCTGACCCGGTCGCCCCGGGCGGCAGTCCTCTGAGCCGGCCAATCAGCTGGCAGCCCTGCGTCTGACGCGGCCGCCGCTCCACTGGGCCGGCCGCTCCTCCCCTACCCGCCCGGCCCCCCACAAGTGGCGATAGGAAGGGAGGGGAGGTCGGCAATGGCGTTGGGACAATGAATGATTGCATATATGAGATGATATTGTGGAATTGCAATTTCTCACATTCTGTCGATAATTCATCGGCACGACAATGAAAGCCCAAAGTGCGTTGAATATACCGCAATTTGGAAAGAGTAATGGGGACTCGTAAATAATATTGCGATGTCGCTGAAATCACAAAAAACATCGCATGTATGCACATCAAAGAAAATGCAACCGAACTATAGCACGGGTGCCATGGAGGTCTGGCACCATTAAGTTTTGACCTTGAAGAAAACAACAATGAAAAATACCATGGGATCAAGTGGGTTCCAAAACGGCAGATTGGCTCAGCCCACCTCGGTGTAGGCGATCATGGTGACCCAGAACGTCTTGCTGGGCCGCGGCACAGACAGACTGCCCCAGAAGAACACCATCATTGGCAGTGGCAGCGACAGGATCGACGCAGACACCATCTGGCGGAAAGAACGTACAAAACGAGCGTCAATAGAAGGGAAAAGACAGGGGTGAACCGCACACACAAAACAAACACAGTGCCGATTACTCGTGACAATTTTATAACCAACAATAATTCATAAAGTTTCCAAAATATTAACTGCTAGCCCTCTCGAGCTTTCCTTATTGCCGTAATACGGCCAAGAAAATTCAGATGCCTTGAGCAAGCATAACATAGTAAAAAGACAGTTTTTCGCACCAAAATGACAAACATTACCGACTAATTCCAGGAGTTCAACATTTGCACCCCACCGCTGACCTGGTTGATGAAGACCACGATGTAGGCGACCATCTCGGACCGGCTGACCACGGCGTACCAGAGGGCCACGGCCAGCTGCTCGAGGATCTGGCGCGCGCTGGCCGTGCTCAGGTCCTCCGAGACAGACTGCCTGACGCCCTCCTCAACGTCCTCTGAGCCGTCACTGAAAGGTCTGCGGGGCGGGGAAAGTCGGAGATGGTCGCACAGCATAATTAATTAATGATGCAACCAAGTGTTGAACATCGAGCAAGGCTTGGAGCAAAGAAAGATGACTCAGTTAAGTGCAACGTAAGACGTATGGTCTTCAAGAGCATGCCGCATCAAAACGAATCGTCCCCATGCCATTGGATCGCCCTGATAAGTAACACATTATCCACTGCAAAAGCCCCAGACATACTCTGTGCCGGTTTTTCTGGCCGGATCGGTCAGTCGCGGGGTGTCCTCCGGAGTCAGGTAGAGCAGCGGAGTATCGCCCCCACCCCCGGGGTCCGCCACAGCCGGCCGGCCGCCCCCGCCCCCACCACCAGAGGGCGGGGCCAGCGGGGATGACTCGCTGGGGCGCTCCCACGACTCCTGAAAGCACGGACAGTCACGGACGGATTACAAAGAGAGATAGACAGTCGTTAGGAGAGTGACAACGAAAGGTAGGTGAAGATAAGGGAACCTTCCTTGATATGCCAAAAGACAAAAGGCCGACCAAATAGTACCTACGAGTGTACGCCGACTGTACGGTAAAAAATAAGTTTTACAATATCTAAAAACATGGGCCAAAACAATCAATAACTAATTAATGACACGAGAGAGACAACCAAGTGATGTTTCAAGGATAAGTACAGCTGCACATAATTGTTGGCCATTTCGCGAGCTGATTATTAGTTAGTGAGCATGATGCCTCGGACGTCTTTTCAGCGGTCCCTACCTTGAGCCGCCGCTTCTGCTTGGACAGCTTCTTGGCGATGTAGCGGTAGTCCGCCGACACGTTGTTCAGCTTCACGGTGAGCGCGATCAGAATGCTGGCCATGAACTCGAGTAGGAAGTTGCCGGCCGACTTCAGGCCCAGGATGGTGCGGCGAAGCAGAGAGGCCAGTGCTGGAGCATATGAGCATGACAGGGGTTAGCAAGACATCTAGCAGAAATGTCCCACCTACTCCTACTTACTTATGTCGGAAAACTCTTAAAAAAGTATAAAGGCACTGAAGGACGGCATATGATCAATGCTAATAGCTCATATCAGCACAGCACAGCGGGGTAGATGCTGATGTGGCCAGTAGCTGGTGCACCGAGTACCGACCCGGCTGAGCTCGTTCCCAGAGGCCAGAATTTAGGCCACGAGAGGCCCAGAGGCCTCCTCTTAGGCCCAGAGGCCAGAACTAGCACGCCCGAGAGGCCAGAGCTTAGGCCACTCAGCCACGCACATGCGGGCCAGCTTGAAGGGACAAGCTCTTGTTAGAGCTGAACTCACTTGTTGGATTGGCGAGGAAGTGACCGTCAGTCCGAAACGGGGTGGATGATCAAGGATGAGGTTGGGCGAGTCCTGAGGAAAGAAATTGCGGATGGAAGGTTTTGATCAGCATCAATGAGGACAAAGTCAAGAGAAAAACATGAGATAGCTTGAGTAACATTTGGTTTTCGACCAGGTCACTCAACCTACATGCCAGTTGCTATACTGCATGATTTTGTCACTGCTAATTTATCTGACGGTAACAAAACGGCCAGCATTTACCTAGATCTTGCAAGAGCATTTGATACTGTAAATATTGAGATACTATTGAAAAAGCTTTCAGTATATGGTGTAAATGGAGTTGCCCGTTCGCTATTTGCATCTTATCTAAGTCACCGTACCCAAAAGCTTAAGTTCCATGATTTTGTCTCTGGAGAGAGGGATATCTCCTGTGGGGTACCTCAAGGGTCAATACTGGGACCACTCCTCTTTATAGTTTATATGAATGACATCTATAAAGCCTGTGATGAAGCTAAAATCCTGTTATTTGCTGATGATACAGCTCTGCTTTATGCTGCCCCATCCATAGCACAACTGCAAGAGAAGATTGAAAGGTCTTTTCCTAAAATTTGTAAGTGGTTGCATTCCAACAGACTTTCTTTATCCATTTCTAAAACCTTCTACCAGCTTTTTCTAACAGACAAGTCAATCGAACTAAATATTCCCACAAATAACACATTTTTGAAACGCGCGCCCACCGTCAAATACCTTGGTCTCTTGATCGACGAAGACCTAAAGTTTAAATCACATATCACTAAAATCACTAGTGTATGTAGTCGCATTCTTGGCGTGTTAGCTAGATCTAGCTACTACCTTAACAAAAAACTTCTTCTCTTACTGTATAATGCTTTGATTTTGCCTCACTTAACCTATTGTGCTGTTATTTGGGGCTCAAACTACGAGACTACTCTGAAACCCCTGGTCACGATTCAGAAGAGAGCAGTCCGATTAATATCAGGCTCCCGCCTGCTTTCGCACACTACACAGCTATTCAAAGAACTCAAAATTCTTAAGGTCACCGACCTTGTGAAATATCAATCACTTCTAATCATGCATGATTTCTTACATGAACGTCTCCCTCATCCCATTGCAAAATTTACTTTATTTGATGGGAACCGACCAACCAGAAGAGTTATTCACTTTAGTGAATCAATTTTGAACAGCAGTGGAACAGAAATACCAAATTACAGAATCACAAACTATCGCCAGTTTGTGCTATTTTGCAGTGGTCCCTCCCTATGGAATAATTTGATTACTCCTAAGATACCTAACATCAATGACATTCCCCGTTCAAAGGGTCTTTTCAAGAAGTGTGTAAAAATACTGTTTTTGGACACCTACTAACCTGTGTATTGATTTTTGTGTTATATTTTTTGATGTGTGTTTATCATATATAATTGAGGAAAAAACAAAATCAAACTGTATCTTCGCCCACGGTGTGGGCACCTCTCATTAGCAGGATAAGGACAATGATTTGCTGACGGATTGGCGATCCTTCCATATGTAGTTCCTACCATGTTTTGTTAGGATAGTGTTTCAGT